TTCTTAATACAAATATAATATATTTCTGCTATAACTTTCTTTGTAGCTTTTGTATATTAAATAATTATTATAGTTAATAGATTAATATCACTCAATCTAGGATATATTCCATAAACTAAAAATATAGGGATAAGTCTATTTAATTTTATTATATTGTTTATAGCCTTTACTATTATTTATAAAACTATTATTTTAATCAGATTATCATTCTTAAGTTCCTTAATCAAAATCTTATATATATAGTATAAAAAATAATAATATCTCTCTATAATATTTATAGAATTATATACCTCAATTAATATATTCTTAATAATAATTAATATAGACTTAATATTTTAAATAAATTCTTTATTTATAAAATTCTTTTTTGTATTGTGAATAATATAATTTAATAATTTAATATATATATTAATTCAGCATTCCCTAAATATATTAAATATATACTTAATAGATATATTATTAAAAAACCAAATTGCTTGATAGTATGTTATTTTATCAATAATATATAGAATTGATTCACCTGCAATATATATAATATCAATATATATAGTATAATTAAATTCAATATCCTTTGATAAAATAAATCTGAAATATCCGGGTGATTTGCTATATATTTAATAGTATTTGCAGTACTTAATGAAATATTTAATAGCGTTATTATTCTTATTATATCTACTCGTTATAATATTAATAAAAATATTATATTAATAAATGGCCAATTATTAATAAAATATTATAATTCAATAATAATTAAATAATTATTCTAGTAGATTAATTTTTAAATGAATTAATTCATATTCATTTTTATATTAAAAATGTATACCCATATCTTCTAATAATAAAATATTAATCATTTGAAAATAAATTAATTAGTAATATTATTATAAAACGTTTTAAGATAATTCATATCCTTAAGGCTCAATAAGAATAGAATATTAGTATTTATAATATGAAAATCGATATCTTCAAATAATATAATAATAAAATAATTCTATTGATATTACAATTCCCTTTTTAAAGTATATATTTATAATATTTATTATTTATAAATCATATATAATTAGGCAAATTTGCTTTTATATATAATATTATCTAATCCCAATTATAGACTTTTCTATATATATTATATCAATATATATACTAAAGAATTTTTTGTTTATATAGTTTATATAAAAGATATTTATTATATTCTCTACTAATAGAATAATCTTAATAAAATCTCTAATCATTATATATAATAATATATTAATTAATAATTAGTTAAATATTTTTTGATTATTAATAGATTTAAAGTTTATAAAAAATATTTTGTTTATATCATTTTCGATATTAAGATCTACAAAAAATAGACTCATTTTAATTTCTAAATTAAATTCTATATTAATAACTTTTCCCTTATATTCAATTATCTATTAGTTATAATATTTATTAAATATATTATTATTATTACTCTTAATCTTCTCCCTATATTCACATCTCTATTTGTTTTGTTTCTTTTTAGAATACTTTATAAATTGGTATTTTTCTTTCTTGCATATTCAGTATTGATTATATTGATTTAAGGAATTGAAATATTATAATTTATTATAAGAATTGTTTCTGAAATTGTTATTTCTAAAATTATTATTTCTGGAATTCCTAGAATTATTCTGATTATTGCTATTATTACTATAAAATCTTTTATTAATAAATAATATTATATCTTTCTTATTTTTATATAATCTCTTTTATATATTAATAGATTATCATAATTGATTAATTAAATTAAATATTTCTTTCTTGGGGTTAAAATAAGCTAGGTTATATGTCTCTATATTTTTATATATAAGTATAAGCTTATTATATAGATAGGATATCTGTCATATAATAGGATCAAATCGATATTGTAGTATATATAGTTACTTAATTATAATAATAAAACACTCACTGAATAATTTGTTTTTGTTTTTTTTCTTAGTTAATTTGAAAATAATATTATTCTATTTAAATAATATATTATATTAATATTTATTTCCCTCAAAATTATTTTGTATATATATCACGGAGGGATAGCTATGTCGATTGGTCATTCTGATCATATAATAGGTATGTATAGTGATAATAAACTAGATTGACTTGGGGTATGATCATAAGGATCATGCCTACCTTATATACCCTGATCGAGCGACGAAGTCGCCTAATTAGATATTAGGGTTCACATATGAAATGAATAGAAGACTATGTGGTGATCATAGGAATAAGCACTTCGTAGGAGTGCCATGCTCAATCACGTGTTGTTGCACAAGACGGTGAATTCCGTGACAATATAAATATATAATTCTTTAAAAATAAATGATAGCGATTTATAATTAATATAAAAAAATTCAAATATATTGTTTTTAAATATAATAAGAAACGCCTTGTATTATATATCCATTAATATTTCTATATATTATATGATTCAATAGAATATTAAGAGTTTGAAATCGAAATTGTTATTATCTCCACTATATTTTTTTTTATTAATATAGAATTTTGATAAACTAATAAAAGATTATATATTAAAATATTTTAATAATCTTTTATTCTATAATAATCTATTATCTTTATAATTAATATTATTATTATTATCTCCATTATTATTAGAATCCCCTTTTTTATTATATAGATTACTATCTTTATTATCTTCTTTTTTATAATTAAAGTTGTTTTTAATGAAATTACAAATAATTCCGAATTTAAATTTGGGTTTTTTAATATTAATGTTTTTTAGTACTTCTTGAACTTATTTTTTTATTTATATATCAATAATAAATTTATAGAATTATTTATATAATATTATAAATATCTTAATATATATCTTTGGAATATATACTCCTTATATATATAATATCTAATACAACTTTTATATATCAATCTAATAGATTTTCGAAAAATATATAATATTGAATATCTTGAAATCATTATAAAAGATCTCTATTAGATTATTATTATTAATATTCTTATAATCATACTATTTATACTTAAATCTAATATATTTAATAAATATTTTAATATTAAGTACAATAGATTTATTAATATTTTACTATTCTTTAACTAAATTTAATTATTCTTTATATTCTTCTTTTTCTTTCTCTATATATATATTCTTATTAATAATATTCTTGATAATAATTATAATATTGTTATTGTTTGATATAATAGAATATATATATAGGGGGATCTCGAAATTATTATAGATATAATTATATATAAAAGAATATTTTATAAATATATAATAATAAAGGTTATTATTTTATTTAATATAACATGCAATATAAAGATGAATATATAATAAATATAAAATCGATTTATTGTACTTAATAAAAACAATCTTTTTGAATATGTTTTTCTGATATAATTATCCGAAGCATACTTTTTAACATTATAATAATAAATAATACACTATATTAGATATAATAATATCTTCTTTATAATCTCTTCAAAATTTCTACCAATCCTAAATATTATATAAAATATCTAATACTTTATAGTAAAATTTAAGATTCTAATTTGTAATATTATTAATTAATATTAATATCAATTTGGTTGATATAAATGTAAAGTATTTTAGTCTATTATGATTGTATTTGTTTTTGATCATTATTATCTATGGGAAGCTAGTATTTAATATAGGGTAGCACTAGCGTGACGCTAGCTAATACAGTGCCCTCTTTGATCACATGATCGATATCCCGACAGGTTGTTAGAGAATTCGAGAGCCCAGCTCTATTCCTAAAGATTCGCCAGCCAACAGAGAGGATGGTACTTCTAGGTAAATAGACTATGGGTAGTGAGAGGTCAGCGGGATAGATTGCATTCTTTATGTCGTGCGTTATAAATGTAAACAATCACTGCCCTGTATTACCATTCTTTCCATTCCCACGCAGAACACAATATCCCGAGTCAACATCTTAACTCATATATGATGAATACTACTTTACTTAATCATGGCGTGATCATACAAGTGAATATGTCTGTCATGAGTCCAAAATGTTATGACAGGAGTCAATGCAGACATTTTCAGTCATAGAGGATACTCATAACACTGAATATTGACGTTTCGAATCACATATCATTTTAAACATAGTAATTATCGTAGTTCCCATATTCGTGGGCGTGATTATTCATAGTCACCATATGCATTTCGAGTCGAAATCTAGTCATGAATCAACACGTTCATTTCCAGTCATCCATCTGCCAAATCCCACTCATGGAGGTCATTTTCCCCAATCATCATGCTTATCCGCAGTCGAAAAAGTCGAACAATATACGTCATGTCATTCATTTCAGCCACTCATGAGCCTATTCACACCCACGAAGGATATTTTTCACAGTCACTCTGTTGATATTGGGTGGGGAAATCGCCGTTGGGAGTCAAGATATCTATTTCTCGTCATCAAATAAGGAGACTTCCAGTTATGATGAAATATTTCTCAAGCTATTATGCGTATTTGGAGTCAAACGTTCAAACCCCCGCGTCATATTATCTAGTTCCAGTCACTTGTGGCCTCTTACCATCAACGAATCTCATTTTCCGTAGTCAAAACATCTCTTTGGAAGTTAAATTGACCATTTCTAATCACAAGATGAGGGTATTTCAATTATAATCTCTTTCTCAAACCTAACTAAAGTGAGGACAAATGGGTTCAAATAGATTCAAAGCGACCTCCCTTTTATCCATTTTCAAAACCAGCTCGAACATCAACATTTAGAACAAAATAACCGAATACAAAAAATTTCGCTCTCCACATTACTTCCATATCGTAACTTCATATTATCTGTCCATATCAAACCATTTACCAGATCCGGCCATCACCACTCCGTCTCGGCCATATAGCTCGGAATCAGGCACCGGCTCAAAGCTCAAGCCATAAATTACTACGTCAAGGCCCAACATACATCACTAACGACCCCGGAATAGCTGAATCGTCTACTTGGCCTTTTCTCGGCTTCGATTTCAGAACCCACGGATCAAAACCATGCCGACCCCGGAAGAACTGAGAAAGCGGAGCGATAAGAGAAACAAATACCAACAGAAATACAGAGCAGCAAGGAAAATAGGTCCCGATGAAGCCAAAAGGAGAAGAGATAATGACCTTGCATCTCGGCGGAAAAAACGTGCTGCAAAGAAGGCCAAAGAAACCCCCGAAGAAACGAGAGTGAGGAAAGAGGGGACAAGCAGAAAAGCACGGGAACGAAGAGCAGCAAAGGATGTACTTGATCCCGATAAAGCCAAAAAAAGAAGAGATAGAGAGTATACATCTCAGCGGGATAAACGTGAAAAAATGGCCGAAGAAACACCCGAAGAAATGGAAGCGAAGAGGAAGGAGACATACAGAAAAGCAAAGGAATTAATTGCATCAGAGCGTATAAATAACCCCTAGAAAGCAAAAATGAAGAGAGACAGAAGCAACGAACTTGCGCGGGATAGAAATAAAAAGAATGCCGAAGGAAACCCTGAAGGAACGAGAGCGAGGAAGGACAAGATAAATAGAAAAGCACAGAAAAGAGCATGGAGAAAAAAGGCAGCATTGCAGAGAAGTGACGCCAAGGGAGCGAAAGAACAAGCAGCAGTATCCGAAAGAAACAACAGCTTCACGTCCCCTACAAGCGACAATCGTTCTGTGGGCCCTGAAAGCCCAAAAGACCCTGAATATTACAGCACCTCAAGTCCAGATCATAATGCTGCGTTTACTATGACTGGTATGAGAACCTCATTACCTCACAGTAATCCTGGACAAACAGCACACAGCAGATTTGACTTTATGCCTACAAGCGATTCTTATCATCCATCGTCTATGAACAATATTGGATACTCAGCACCTCCCAATACTCATACTCATATACAAACAGCAAACAGCAGACCTGACCCGCCCCCTACAATCTATTATGATTCTGGACCACATACGAACAGCAACAATTCCTTATCACTTGCAGGAGGCTATGGTCCTGCAAGACCTGAAATACCTGTCGGGTATGAATCTGCAGGATTCGCAACATCGTTCGCACAGCCCACAAGCGGTGATTACCATCCGTCGTCTAGGACCAGTTATGAATCCCCAATACCTTCCAGTATTACTGCACCAACAGCGGACAGCATGTATCATTATTAGGAGGAGGAGGAGGAGGTTAATCGATGGTGGAATGCGACGATGTCACAAGATAATGAAGGGGGAAACTTCTATTAATAAAGAGCACCAATATGAAGATCAAGACAATCCAAAGCCTCTCTATCTGGCTGACCACGTTGCACTACATTGGTGGAGAAAAATCAAGCTCTGGAGTTGTGTAAAGCCTCACAGATTCTTCATTTTTCTTTGTCATCGGGATGTCAAGATAATGATGCAAAAGCTATCTTCACATCTAGGGCTCTCCTCACAATTTCGTGCACCCGCTAATTTATTAGTGATATTGCCTATTTTCAGTCACTTATGGCCTTTAAGACTCATAATGATCGCTATCTACAATCATAATGTTGATATCGAGTCAGAACCGTCATTTCAGCATCCAAATTGACAAAATCTAGTCACAAAATGAGAATATTCTCAGTCATAATCTCTCCCTCAAATCTCGCCCAAGTGAGGTCAAATGTGCTTAAATAGGTTCGAAGTATCCCCTCTCTATCCATTTCCAAAATCAACTCGAAGTCAAATATCCAAAGCAAACAACCAAACACAAAACATATCAAGCCATCTACCACCACCATTTAGTATCTCAAACTTCTTTCAATACTACACTCGTCCAAAGCTACTTCACTTTACTCCTGTCCAACCCCTTACGATATCAATATCTACCATAACATCGAATTCAGCTAAGTGCGCTGTTGCATTGCCTATTGCCTCCAATTCAACACCACCAACATTGAACACGATTGCAACTCCGCACCGTCACTCAGTCCTTCATCAGCCGAGCATCTAAACGTAGTGATGACTTCAGCCGGTTTCAACGGAAAATCTGATTGGGAAAAGCTAGCGCGTGGAAAAGTATATTTGTGGACCAAGGATGAGGACAATTTTTTGTGGAATGAATGTAAGCAGTTTGCAGTAGATGGCATACCCGGGCAGGTGAAGGAAGAAGAATTTGAAGGAGTGGTTGCTGCTTTCAGGCTAGAACAGAGAAAACATCGAGAGAATGACAGCTGGCCACCTAGATCGTTAGCGACTGTATCGATGTTGCAAAGAAGATACTATAAATTAAGCGCAGTGGCAAGAGCACATGGAGGGGACCCTTTCTGGGAAGGCAATAACGGTTACAAGCCAACGCGCATACCTATCATACCGGGCACAGAAAGAGGAGCATCGAGGGATATTAATGAAGGGGATAACCAATATGACAACAGCTTCGAGGAGAGTATGGACTCAAGCAATTACCCTATGTCCCCCCCTGTGGATGCACCATTCGCCAATACTTATTCCGAAGAACAATATCGACAAGGTGATAGGTAGAGGAACAGCCTGCACATACCGGGTCCACAGAAACTGCTCCTGCGCGACGAACATTACTGCAACAATCGAGGGGACCGTAGGACATTCAGTAACCATGTGTAACAACATTTTCTTTCTGTCGTTTCTTTTTCTCTGTCCAGGTTACCAGCGTCTGGTGTTAGAATTCAATTAGGAGTTCTAGAGGAGCTTGAATACCCTTCTTGTTGGATTTCTCGTTACTTTTCATTAGATTTCACCAATGGAGTTTTCGCTTGCCGAAGAATGCCTTGTGTGTTTGTTCCCCTTTTGGATCCCCAAAACTGGGAGTATCAGAGTTTCTTTAAAAGAACCATCTGGCCCAAAAGCTCAGGGTGGTTATTGTTTCTCCCAGATATGCTCTCACTCATTCGAGATATCTGGCATTGTCATGGACTTAAGGAAAAAAAAGGTCTACTCAGCACTTGTTGTTAAATAGACTAGAATTGCAGACAAATTGCAGCCACTTGGCAGAAGAGTTATATTGCACATGAATGTGATGTCTTTGTGCTTATGATGTTCAACAGGAAGCAAATCGACTTTTTACTTAGGGAACTTTCATTGCATGCTCGACTGACATCAATGGGTTTGCAATTCGGTGATTATAAACAGTTTTCAGACTTCTCACTTCACTCGTTCATACATTATCAGCCTGTCACGACCAGAAGTTCATGAGCTATAACCCAATACTGTAAAAACGAACTTCGTAGAATTATATCATGTATAGCATCGTATTATATATCCAACGACCCTTATTTGTCAATCGATATCAGGAAGTGGGGAAAAAAATTGGTCGATATTAACCTCTGAAGTGGAACGGGTTCTTGCTCGATTCGGTGCCGACCGAGGGGTGGGATAGGTCGTGGCCGAACTAGCAATGCAAGGCCAATCGCCAGATTCTTACCAGGCTCATGCCATGATCGTCGCTGAGTAACGTAAATGCTCCGGCAGTCTCCACGAAGTCTCCACGAAGTCCCCATTATTCTTTGCAAAACGACACGGGGTTTAAAGTATAGGATGTGAACGAACCAATCCAGCGGCATTTCAGGGCTAGTGGTAGAAACTGGTATATAATCAATCACATATCTTGAGAAGCTGTAATGGGAACAACTCGATTCTCAGTTGCACTGCTTGAAATTACGACTTGATATGAAAATCTTGATCTTCTCGGTGTGATTTTGGACCGTTCGATAGGGCTGGAGCACTGTAGTACGAAAATCCATTGTAAATACTTCCACTAGTAGATTATTACTATTTGCCTTGCAAATCTATTAGGTGATGATCATACAATGTGGATAGGTAGATCAATTCTTTAAAGTAAATCCAGACCCAAAAGCTGGATCTTATGGGCTGAGAAATGATGAACAGAAGAACATGAGGATGTGTAGGTCCAATTCTATATAATTAAAAAAAAAGTTGCGCTGCAAGTCTGACATTCTGACATCACACCAAGGAACTTGCCATGGGAGAAGGACACATGGCACAATTAAAGGATTCGTGGTGGAGTTAAAAGTATTCTAGTGCTTTGCCCGTGGAGCCGCCACAATCACCATGTTGATGTGAGGATTCAGTCCAGCACCGTAAAGGTGGTACTTACGAGTCCAATTAGAAGTGGATTTTGACCGATTTTGATGTATTCGTATCGTACTCGTATTTAAACTTCAAAGACCTTAGAACTGAGCTTTTTTGCATACCGTAAAAGCAGAATGATGATATGTTATATTGTGTGAGTATGAGGATGCGAGGATAAGATGGGGAGCACGAAAACGCTGTTGATAAAGAACCATTTCACCTAAAGTTGTGTGACACCGCTTTCAGTCCTCAACTACCTAATCAGGTCATTTTGCCATGGATGCATTTAGCCTAAATGAATAGTAAGAGACCAGATAAATTCGAGAATTCCCTTCACATCGCTCCCACAGTCTCATCCACCTATCAAATACCGCAATTATGCCTAATTATCGGTTTTTGGATTTGTGTACATGTAAGATGGCTGGGGAACACTTCAACGATTGTCATTTTGTATCACCATCGCCCACCTGTGTGTGGTTCGTTACTTGAGTAGTACGGGGGTTATCAAACATAGCCATACTCCGTACGCAAAATGATCTACAAATTCTTTCACGGAGCAATATACAAGTCTTCCGGAGCCCTGTTCGTCGCCTTCCTCTTTCATACAATGCAGATCAACCTCGGCGTTGCGTGAAGCTAGAGCAGCAACAGTATACCAGCATACTTCATACTACATGGTCGAGCAGGTGGAAAGTAGACATTTTCAAAGCATTAACATCAATAGCAAGCATATACGTCCGCATTTGAATACAGCATTACGAGACGAGGTGCTTGATGATCTCAGATCAAGGTTTGATAATCAAAACTAATGCCGCTTTCTATTTCCCATACATTAAGTCATTGATCTAAATTCCAGCTCGGTATGCACATACGAAGGAATGAAGTCCCATCACCTTGGTTCGGGCATGATCGATTGTCGGCCCGTCCTTACCTGGTCGACTTCCTGCCACCAATTTACTGCTTTGGGAACACTCCGGCATTAGACAGCTTTTCCCAATTCCGAGACCAATAGAATCTTATCATGGCGATTGTTCTCCGACGATGGAATTACATACTAGCTGAAATGTACAGGCACCATTGGCAGGTTGCAAAATCCCTATCGATGTTGGTCAACACGCTTGAGAAATGCACCGTGAGGTAAAACGCGACCTTTTATGTGGCTAAAAAACGTTGATGATGAGCTAAATGCATCGAATTACTGTCACCACTACCGGCACGGCACAGGCTTGTCCCGATCGTTGCTGTCTGTTGCACAACTGCTAATCACATCGTCCGACTCCAAGCTGGACGCTATAAATTAAGTTCAATATTGATACCACCCTATTTGGAACATTACCCCGGCTCTCATTGAAGGTCTTTATGCACTCACTGAGCTGAGCCTGATGTCCCGGCCCTTCATCATGTCTTTACCAAGTCCTAGGTTTTCTATATTCCGATCGATGTGTTAAGATTTTGAACTGGGATTCTGGGATTCTTGGATTCTGGAATATTGGAATTCTGGGATTCGGGAATTCTATATTAGATCTTGATCCTTCGTGACTGTTGACCTAATGATATCTGTTTCCGGACAAGTAGAAGCCATGACCTACCAATCTTCGCCATGGTAACTGCTGCTAGGACGCCTGATAGTGCTGTGTGGAGCTTGAGTACTACGAGGGGGCCCTTCCATTGATTTGGCTCTGGATACTACTATGCATGCTTGGTTCATGCATCTAGGATTCTAGGTGGTGGAATGGAAGCTGCTCTCCATTCTCTTAGTGCACGTCATGAAAACCTTAAAAACACTCAACTCGGTGATTTCAAAGCTGCACGATTGAGGCATTCAAAAAAACAAACATCTGGTATTTTGGACCCAAATATCTGTTGTTCTTCTTGACTGGCCTGACCCCCTGGACCTTCCAAGGCTGTCACTAGAACTTGCACAGACAGAAATTGTGGCGCTCCTTAAAATCATCTCCACATTGTACTGCAGCTCACCCACAATCCAAAACTCTCCTGTTCCTTATATTCAAATCCACAAAAGAATTACTACAGTACTTTCCTATGCACAGAAATTCTCATTTTGACCAACCCCGCCCTAGATTGCAGCTCCCAGAATTTGGGTCTACGACGTATTATATATTCCCTCGAGATTAATGAGGCAGATGGGTCACCTGGTCCTAGTCATTACAACAGTAATCAAATCTCGAGATTACAACTCTCTCTGGACTCTGATAACCTATTTCCTCCTGTCAGGACTTACACGTATGCGACCTCCGGCAGATGGAATCCCCCTTTCTCTCATCATATTAACATTGGATATACTCCAGATCCTGACATCAGATCATATTATTCGTTGGACAACTAAAACCCCCCTCGCCTTGCTGCATCTCAATTCCAATGCAGCTAGCTAGGTTTGCATTTTCCAGAAACCCTTCGATAGCTCTATGGATTAAGTTTTGTGTCATTTCATCTTATTTAAACTTTAATATCCACACCACATGACAAAAGAGCTGTACACCGCAACCAGTTCCAAATCTATATCGCCAGACATCACCACGGGAGGGCACTGTGCATAAGCTGGGTACTTCCAGAACGGTCGAAACTTCAGCTATCCGTGTGCTCCATAAATGTATATGCTGATCCATTCATACATCATCAACTACTGTACTTGAAGATTATACCCTTTACAGTCCCCACCAAGGTTGGAGTATCTCCGACAACTGCTCCAAATTCCACAACAGAGAAAATAGTTTGATGTAGAAGGTGCTTGGGAAACTACAACTTAACTTAAATTCCGATCTATTTGAATTTTGTACGAAAGGTGCTGCTCGTAGCTCACCACGTCTCGTTATCATCATGGCTGGTACAGGTCGCCTAGACCTGTCTAAGCAATCAATACCGGGCCAGCATCTTCTTACACTCGAACGCGACCCTCAGGCACAGCATTCTCAACAGTTTCTAAGTTCGGCCCGGTCCTATGCGGATCTGAACTATCTTTTTGGGGCCCAGGACATAGCGATGATTGGGCCCATCCCGAAAACAAATCGACGAAAATCAAGCCAGGGAATTGAGCATGTGAAGCATCGTCGGACAAGATCTGGTTGTTATACTTGTCGTAGTAGACGAGTGAAGGTACTCACTTGGCAATTGCATTTTTTCAAAAAACGTGGGCTAACTTTCTAGTGTGACGAACACCGCCCAAAATGTGATAGTGAGATTATGAGCTTATATTCTGTAACATGCTGCTAACCTCAACATATAGGATGCACAAAAGGCAATCGAGAATGTGTATACCCAGATGTGCAGAAACCGGCAAAGGGTGCGGGACACACCTCATCTAAAGTTGGGCAGTCAAAGCCATCAGAAAGCCCTGGTTCATCAGAAGATGAATACGAGGACCGAGACGTTGAGCGTCTGGAGGTCATCCGAGA